TTTATATCTTAGGGTTTTTATTATCCCAGACAACAATTGTAAGTTCATTACAATTTTAATTGTGTTTTCTGAGTCAACTTTTTAGATATTTTGCTAATACAAGTGCACAAACAATAAGGAAACTTTCATTTGAAATTCAAGACTCTCTATTCCCACCCCCAGGCAGTGTTTGCAAGGCACATCCTAACTTAAAAAGTAATTGGCCGTGTATCAGTCAGTAAAACTGTTTTCTGCTGCAAGTTACAGGCTTGACAGCTAGGGGCTTAAGCACCAAATAAACAAGGTTGAATGCTCCTGCAAACAAGATTTCAGGAGATGGATCACCGCTGGTGTTACATAGGCGTCTGGCTCAGCCATAGTATCAAGGGCTTCACTCTTTCTTCTCCGATGTGTTTTGGTGTCCTCAGATGGCTGCCTCATGGTTGCAAGGTTTTTGCCACAACCCTAGGCTTCATCTTCCGGTCTGGGGCAGAAAGGCGCAAAAGTTCCCCCAAATGTGTTTGTTCCTTTCATCTAAAGAGCAAAATTGCTACCAGAAGCCCGCACCTAGACATCTATTGGCCTTACATGCCATTGGCTGGACCCAGGTTATATGGTCAGCCCTAGCTTCTCGGACAGCCTGGGCTTGTTCTCTAAGAATCCACTGACAGGAAGAGCTGAAGGGCACAGAGGGGTACAAGCCTGTGGTGGCGTGCTGGGCACCAGGTGGAGGCCCAATCACAGGGGGCCAAGGGGGTTGCCTCACTCAGCCTATTGGGACCACCTTGTGACCTACCACTAAGTCATTCCGTTGTCACAAAAGCCACAGGTTGAGAGCAGAGTGGGTTTCACCATCGTGGCCTGATGGTGAAACTGAGGCTATAAGAACCACTTCATCTGAGGCTGTATAACCTGTAAGGGATAAAGATCAGCCTGGAACACCATCACTGGATCTCTGGGCTGGACTCTGCATAGAGGGGATCAGAGAAGCTGTCAGAAGCAAGGAGAGCAGACCCATTTCACCAGGCCTCTATGTGTGCATGATTAAACCTAATGAGCGCCTTTAAAAAAAAAAAGCTGATAATTGATACATTTATTGACATTGATCCGAGCTATTGACCAGTAGGCTGTAAAGATCTACAGAGAAAACTTAGAGGAGGAGAGTTTCTCTTTGCTGTGCCCTGAAGGTCACTCCTTGGAATGACAAGGTGCTTGGATACTGGCTTTTTTTTTTTTTTTTTGGTGGGTGGAGACAAATTATTGATTCCTTCTAAGCCTCAGTTTTTCTTATTTGGAAAGTAACACCTGCTGTACATTTTGTGGGTTAAATGACATACTATATACAGGAAGTCCTTTTTGGATCATGCTGTTACCATTGTCACTGCTAATGTGACTTAACCCAAAGTTGTACAAGTGATTTTTGGAAGCACCCACCGTGCATTAACTCCATGACAGACCCTGGAGTAGGCCATGAGCAGCCGCTGGGCTCAAGGGGCACCTGGTCCATAGGGGAATCCCAAGGGCTCTTGAAGAAGCACCAGCCTGGTGTGGAATGAGGAGGAAAGAGAAATGTCCATTCTTGTATTCATAAATTTTTCCTGAACATTAAGGTCAGACTGCAACAGGTCAGAGAACATTCCAAAAGGAGCATCTGCAAAAGTGGTCACTGCCCATCTACCTTATTAAAGGATGGATTCCTTTTTACTTTTTGTTGGGCAGTTGTCTGTCTAGCTGACAGTGCCTGGGGTTGAGGTCAGCTTCTTACAGTGACTTCTGGAGAGAGAAGGGAAAGTGAGACGGGGCTACCTGCCCCCCCCCCCACATGTGGGTGTCCTGCAAATGCAGTCCTCATGGTCCTTTGTGAATGAAGTTTGGATTTTCATTGTTGATCTTGCCAGCATTTCAAGGCGAGGCAGAGCTTACTTAGGGTGGGAGTTGGGTTCCTTGGGTGGGGTAGGTCAGAATCTTCTGTGACTATATGTCACATCATGGAGCTAGAAACTTTCTCACTAGGGAATCTCACCCCCTCAGAGGAGGAACTGTCCTTCCCGTGTTTGTGTGTCTGTCCTTCTGCCCGCTCTGGTTTGCAGGAGTGAGGGCAAAGGTCTGCCACAATCCCACCAGCATTCGGGGTTAGCGTGTTGCATGGACTCAGCTGTTCCCTAAGGTGAAGGGGCTGGTGGAGCTGGAGTGTACAGCCCCATCTGCTGGGATACCCTAGAGCAGCACCCCTAGGCTCCGTGCTGCCCATCACCTTGCTAAGAGGCCGGTTCTGATTCTTTGGAGGCCAGTCCTGAGATGTTCAGACTTTGAACAGCCCCAAGTGATAGCAACACAACTCTGTGAACCACACTTTGAGAAGAAAGGCAGCAGAGAAGGTTCCTGCACACTGACTCGACAGGACCTTTGCCAGCGTGTATGCCGATCTGCTCTGCCCCAGGGCTTTCCATGGCCATGACTGGCTCAATCTGACCTGTGAGGCAGGCAGGAGGTGCCAAAGCAGGCTCTCACTGATGATTGGTAGATCACCAAGGCCTGATCTACACCAAGTCCAAAGGTCCAACCAGTTGAGCCTCGTCTGCCTACAGAGGTCACCTACTCAAGCAACACACTCACTGTTGGCTTCCTTCTTTCCCCCAGACTGCTTGTGTGCACACCCTTGTCTCCTGAAGATTCCACTCCTGAAGAAACCATTCCAGCACAGATAAGATCAGCTACAACCATGTCTGAATCTCCAGGCAGAGCAGGGCTTATAAGAGGCCTATCAAGGGCGGAGGGTCACACTCAGAAACTACAGGAGCCCTGAGCGAGCACCCAGGAGTAGGGAGTGTGTCCAAAACCAGGAGTCACCCTGGGGCTGCCCACATTTGGACTACTTCTTTGTGCCTGTTAATTCCATTGGCTGTGCCTTTGTCATAGGGCCATCTATGCTCTGACAGGGAGGGGTAGAACCCAAATTTCATATCCAGCAGAGGCGTCAACTGTGTTTCTTTGTTTGGTTGGTTTTGGTTTGTTTTTTTGAGACATTCTTGATATGTAGCTCAGGCTTGTTGGAATTAAAGACCCTCCATGCCAAAAACAGACACACGAGAGACAGAAAATCTTGACAAGGCAATTTCTTTTGATCAAAAGGGTGCAAGCCTGTACTTACTCCAGCTGAGTGGACACATGAGCACAAGATGGCTGACAGTGGCTCCTCCTTATATCCCTGACACAGTTGTACCTGCCCCTAACCCAGGATTTGTCCAGGTCAAAGGTTCACACTCTCCCTCAATTGGCTAAAAGGCTTGGGGGATGGGTTAGGGCATGCAGTTGGCAGGCCATGGAGTCCTACAGGAATCCAGAAGAAGCAAGGACCCTTTAAACATGCAAGTCACCTAAGATGATGGCCTGAGATATTTTTAAGTAATCTAAGAGGGTAACAAATACATTTTCCTTACAGGCAGGCCTCAAACTCATGATCCTCCTGCCTCAGCCTCCCAAGTGCTAGGATTACAGGTGCACCTCCTGTTGCCTGATGAGAGTGACCTTAAATAGAAGTCAGGGTTGAAATGGTGAGCACACTCTCAACCCCATGTTCACGGCAGCATACGGAGTACTAAGGACAAGTACCAGGGTGTGGTGTGAATGCAAAGTGTAACTGGCCCCTGAAATCCCATGTTCTTTTTCTTCTTTTATTTTTAAAACTTTTTTGGTGGTACCGGGGTTTGAACTTAGGGCATCATGCTTCCTAGGCTTGCTAGGCAGGTGCTTTACCACTTAAGCCACAGCCTTGTGGTCTTGAGCTCAACCACCTTCCTTGCCCTCAGGGAAGAGGATGTGGGCTGCAGCACTGTATTGGAAACAGTGGTGGTTGGTGCCCGCCCTCAGCTTAAATGAATTGCTCCTACCCATCCCATAAAGTCATTTTACTTTCAATTGCTGTCTTTGCAATAAGAATCTTCCTCTTGTTCTAGGACTTAAAAGTATTTGCTGAAAGAAATAGCCAGAAGATTGCCCCTGGCATGAATGGGATCTAACTCTTCCTTCCATTAGGTTGCAATCATTCTGGCTGCCTCTTACCTCTCCTGGACCAAGGCCTGAGTGGGCAGGGCTGGTCTGCCACCTCCTTGGAGTGGAGGATGGAAGAGGCCTAGGACTGGGAGAAAGTGATCGCTGCTTCTGCTCTGGGGCCTGTTCGGTTGCTTACCCAAGGGAGGGGTGGCCCCAAGGTGAACTGGCTGCAACTCTGGGAAAATGATGCTCTTATCTTTGATGGAAAGAATATAACTTTGCCTGTCACCTCAGACACAGGTAGCCACTTCACTTTTCTTCCTCTGAGGCCTGTGGTTCCACATCTGACCTTTTATGTGTTTTGGTAAAGTCACTTTTCATGGTCAGGACAAGAGCTCATGTTAGCTTAAGTCAAGGAGTCTGTAAAGGAGACTGCACAAGGGCTGGCTTTGGAGAGCCTGTGGCAGGAAGGCAGAGTGGATTCCAGGCTGTCAGGGACCCCTGCTCTTGGGAACCACATTGTCCATCTTATTCCCTGCCATGCCCTCTGGTGCTTTCTGTGTTCATACTTTGGAGCTGATGTGACAGTTTCTACATGGTTTGGTGACTGAGTTTGTGTGCTCCCGGGTGCAGTGCTCACCCAAAGCCCTGAGCCCACTATGTACTTCCATGAAAAGTCTGATGATCCCAGCACCCCACAAAGGCAAGGGGTGCTGTCCATCTTGACAAGTGAACTCCACCCTTCCTGGATGCAGAGTAGACCTAAAACACTGACTTCTTCCTCAGGTGGTATTGTGTTCTGTCTTTTGGAGATTTGAAAATTCAAGAGCCAGAGGTCACTTGGAACCCAGAGTGGCAGGACCAAGCCTTGACTTCAGCTGGGCCATTACTATTAAGCAATTGTTTTAGGATTAGCTAGTCACCTGGCCTGAGGCTGGCCTTGTGGGCATGACCTGAAGGGCTTAGCCAGTGCTGAAATCCATAGCACCTCTGGCACTATTGAGACTGTCACTTTTCCTCCTCAACAGGTGTACGCCTCGACCGAGTGCGTGGAGGCCGCCAGAAATATAAGCGACGGTTGGACTCAGAGAGCAGCCCATACCTGAGCCTACAAATCTCTCCACCTGCTAAAAAGCCATGTGTGTACAAGGGCAGTCCATATCCCTTTTCCAACTGGGGAAATGCCATCTCCCATCACTGGATTATGGGATGGTGTGGATCTTGGGGAGGGAGCATTTGTGCCTGGCATGGTTGCCTGGCTTCATTCAGAAGGCCCATCCTCATGGGACAACACAGAACATGGCTCCAAATGAAGAATGGGCCTCAGCACCCTCCCAAAGGTGCTCTGCAGGTTCCTCCCAAAAAAGTCATCAGGCAAGCTCCCATGGAGGGCTATTTTCCACTCACTCAAATCACAGCAGAGAAATTCCAGCCATGTTTGATCTTCCTGGGACCCTTCTCCTGACCTGTGCTAGGCTTCCCCTCTTTGCCCTGATAGTCACCTTTCCTTTTTGGCCATTTCAGTGACCAAGATTGTCTCATACCTACTGGTAGCCGAGCCAGACAAGCTGTATGCTATGCCTCCCCCTGGGATGCCTGAGGGGGACATCAAGGCTCTGACCACTCTCTGTGACCTGGCTGACCGGGAGCTTGTGGTTATCATCGGCTGGGCCAAGCACATCCCAGGTGAGTCATGGGGGCAGGGGAAGAGTGTGGTCAGGGGCTCTCAGCCAGGTTCCCCGAGGCCTCCCCATGGCTGTGGTCTTATACATGGTGGCTGGTCCTCAAGTGGCCTGGGAGGCCTTGGTAAGCCTCGGGGTCCTTTGCCCTCCTGTGAGATTGGGGGAGCAGCTGTTCAGAAGGTTCATGAATATGAACTGTGGGGGGCTCTTCTGAAACATTCTCATTCTGGATGGGGCTATGACTAGATCTACAATTGGTAATATTCAAAGAGCAAGTTCATTGACCCCTTAAAGGACAAAGGAGTAGGGTTTTCTTGCAGACTTTACTGGACTCACACTGGAAAACACCTCACGAGAAGGATTGACTCACCTCCTATTAAAGAAGAATAGTGAAGAGGGAATCAGATTGGGATTTGAAATTGTAGGTCTGCAATTCCTAGCTGTGTAACCCTGGCAGGTTGCCTGCCCTGTGAAATGGGATGGTAGGAGGGCCTCCTTTGTGGGCTTTGATGTGAGGATGAAGTGATGTTTGTGAAGCATTGAGCACTGTGTCCGGTATGTGCTAGCATCCGTGCATGCCCACCATTGCCACCTGCCTGATCTCTTGCAGTGCCTCTTTATTTGGGTTCCATGGTGTTAAGGACCTTTTTTGGTTGGGAAGCATGTGCATTGTATTTCAGGCCATATGGGCTTCTTTGAACTCCCCGGACCCAAGCCCCTCTTGGTCTGGGTAAATGGTGTGAGTGGATTCCTTTCTCTGTGCTCCAACACCTTGGCTCAGGGTGGCAGACACACCCGGTTACCATCTGACAGTGACATTCCCCCCCTCCGCCCCCCCATGAACTCCATTTCTAGCTATGTGACCTGGGACAGTTTATCTTCTTGCTGTAGATCTTTTTTTTCTTGCCATGGCTTTGAATGAACACAGCATGCATGATAATATAGCAAAGGTGTCCCAGCCTTTGAATGCCAGGCGTAGGCCCAAGTGACACCTTGCATGTGCCACTCACAGGAAGGAGCCTCTGTAGACAGGGGCTCAAGCATCTGGTTGACTCAAGATGCTGCTGGCTGACACTAGCAGGCAAGAGGCCTGGGGGACTTCTTGGTAGCCTCTGGGCATTCTGATTTCAGAGTGGGTTTGCAGGGGCCTGACTGGTGCGCCCTTGCTGAGAAGCTCAGCCTCTGGAGGATTACATACTCAGTAGTTTCTGAATCTGCCCACTGCTAGCTCAGCACGTATAAGGGGTCAGGCCACTGCTAAGACACCTCAGCCTGGATTGCTCCACTAACCCAGGGCCAAATTGGGCACAGCCACCCGACCCTGCCCCCACACTCCTATTCTCTGTTGAACTGATACTGCATCCTTCTGATGGCTCTGAAGTGGCGCCTGCTGGTCACCTGGGTCACTGCTTCTTTATCACCCCACCCCCATAGCACTTTCAAGGGAGAGGAGTAGGACTAGGAGACATGGTCTCCCTGGCCCCATTCTTCTTCCGTCTGTGCCCAAATGAGAGGAAGCAGTAGAGCCGAGTGGTTGCTGGGAACATGGACTTGAGAGTCAAGCAGTCCAGGCTCCCATCCCAGCTCTGTCCGTACTGGATGCAAGACATTCTAGTTTCCTGAGCTTCAGTGTACTCATCTGTAAAATGGGAATTATAATAGATCCCCGCCCCCAACCCCATTGCTGGGAGGTTGCTGCATACTCAGCAGCATTTGGTAATTACCAGAATGTCACCATGGTTGTTCTTACCAATAGTAAGTAGAGCTTCCTTTTGCACCAGCATTTCTCCTCATTCAAAGCTGAATTCCTCTGGACTAAGAAGTAAAATAGGCCAGGTGCCAATGGTTCATGCCTATAGTCCTAGCTACTTGGGAGTCTGAGATCAGGAGGAGCGAGGCTCAAGGCCAGCCTAGGCAAATAGTTCATGAGACCCTGTCTCCAAAAATAACCATAGAGGTGTGGCTCAAGTAGTTGAGCACCTGCTTTGCAAGTGCAAAGCTCTGAGTTCAAACCCCACTCCCGTTTTAAAAAAAATAATAAAATAAATGCTGGGGCTCAGTTGCCTGTGTCAAGCACTAATTTGCCCATTTTGCATAAATCTGCATGCTGATTATTTGGGCCTGACCTTCCAGTGCTTAAGGTAAAATTAATTAGTGGAGTCTCTTGCCACTGCATGTAAACCTCATATCGAGGGCGACGACATATCAAGTGCCTGATGTTTTAAAAACTAACTAACTTAATCCCCATTTCTGATTATATGGAAAACTCATCTGAAGACAGGCTCACAGAGAAAGGGAGAGAGGGAGGGAGGGAGAAAGAGAAGAAGAAGAAGAGGAGGAGAAGGAGGAGGGAGGAAAGAGAAGAGAGGAGAGGAGAGAGGGAATGAACTGGCTCCTGTCTCCTCTGGTCTGGGACAGATGGAAGGGAGGACTGGTGGACTGGCCACTTCAGAGTACTAGAGCTCTGAGGAGGCTACTGTCCTTAGACACAGGGTGATATCTCATGCTTCAAAGTTTTGTAGCCTCTGGTCCGCAGCCTGGCACAAAGAGGGCACTCATACTTGCCTTTGCATACAGAAGGGGTCTGGCTGACACAGAACATTGTAGGGCTGGCCCTGATTCAAGGGAATGTGTTCTAGGACTCCTAGCTGATGCCTGAAACCTCAGATCAGATCAGATCAGATGCCTGGATCTTCAGTGCCCTGCAGCATTGCCATGTAGTACCCGTTACTCTGTCCTTCCGTGTTTTATGTCCTGGTGTTTCCTCCACATCACTACTCTTGTGCTATAGAGCATTATTAAGTAAACTAAGGGTGGCTGTAGCACATGCACTGCAATGCCCTAATGGTTGATCTGATGCCTGTGGTGGCTGCTAAGTGACTAATGACTGCATGGTGGATACACAGGACAAACGGATGGTTCATGTCCTGGGCAGACAGCAGTATGGCAGGAGATCTCTCTACTCAGAATACTGCAGAAGTTAAAACTTATGAATTGCTTATTTTTGGAATATTCCCAGTTAATATTTTCAGACTACAGTTGACCTCACACAAGGAGAGGGATGACTGTAGATTAATCTCTGCCCCAAGGATCCCACTGGAACAAGGATGAACTCTGTTGGGGACTGATAGTGATTTTCTCAGATTCGCAACTATTGTTCTGTTTACTCTGAGGTTATCCCTCCCTGAGTGCAGCTTTTTACCTTGATTTGAGTCTTCTAAGTTTTGGGCAGATTGGAGGGCAAGCTCAGGTCTTCAGAGTGCCCACCTCCTGTTCCCTGTGAACAAGCGATTAGCGCAGGAACCAGCAGCCTTTAGCAGGCCAGGGGCACTTGATAAACTGGCTTTACACCTTAGGAGCTGTTTTTTTGCCCTCCCCAGCCAGGAGAGCCTTTGCAGAAAGTCACCATGCTGCCCAGGCTGCCATGTGCAGGGCATCCCCAGAGGCCTCCTCACGAAGAGTCCCTGGGTGGCCTGCTCCCAGGTAGCCACCGTCTGGCTGGATGAAAGATGAGCTGCCGAGTGACAGCAGCTGTGTCTGAAGTGGCCCCAGATCCTATAATTACATCTCCCTTTATTACCTCTCTAATGGCCCTCCAGGTCGGCAGAGACAATCATAAATTAGCAGATTATGAACTCCGCTTGCCACAAATTATGTGCTCCTTTTTTTTTTTTTTAAATTCCAGGAGCTCATGGTGCCAAGTCACTGGGGGATGGGGACTTGGGCAGAGCTTGAATGTCATCAGATCTGTTGGTGCAGATAAAGGAATTTTCCTGAGGCAGCAGAGCCCAAGGTGGAGGCCTGGAGCCAGGGGCTCTGCCTGCTTATCCAGGGGCCTGGGCCATATACTCTGCTGCCCCCGCCCTTCTGCTCCTGGGGACTTACTGGCTGGGATCCCCAATTTCTCCACGGAGAAGGAGCCCCAGCCAGGTGCAGAGAAGCAGAAGTAGGGGGTGTGTGGAGTTAGTTTCCTGAAGGCAAGACGGGTGCCCCATCTCCTTTGGGTTTTAAATAGAATATGTGCTTCTAGTGAAGATGACAGATGTGACAGATGTAGAAATGAAGACTTCCAAATCTCCCATCTGAGCATCTTTCTGGGAGTTTCTTGTGTATGTGCAACCATCTCTGTGTGTGTGTGTGTGTGTGTGTGTGTGTGTGCGCGCGCGCGCTCCCCCCATGCAACGCTGCTTTATTTATACCACTGAATCTTAAAATAGCAGCACCTACCATGAGCTAAGCAAAATTCTAAGTGTTCCATGTGGAAAGCCACATACCCAGTAGCCACATGCTTTTCCCACTTTGCAGATGCAGAAACACAGGTCACCTTGAGGGGTCAGCAGAGCAAAGATTCTGCCTGGCTCTGCAGCCCATGCTCCCAGTCACACCATCCTTGAGCTGTTGGGCACCGATGTACATCCACAGCCACCAGTTCCGCCTCTTGCTTTCTAGTGGTTTCTACTGTTCTATTCAGTATGCGTTTATAGAACAGTGACAGGTATCGTATTAGTAAACTTGAGTCGTTTTTCTGCTTTGAGTCATTTCAAAGAGTGATCTAGCAACACCTTTTTTCATTTATGTATTTATGCATACTTTTCATTCTGGGAGACTTTCCTAGCAGTGGAATTCCTGTTATTTTATTTTTGATTGAATTATATTTATGCTTTAATTCTATTTTCAACCATTTTAAATACTGACAAGATTCAAAAGGCAAAAATAGGCAAAAACGTATACACAGATATCTTACTCATCCCTGACCCCTTCCGGGACCCTCCTGGAAGTAACCATGTTTGGTCCTCATTTTTCCTTCTAGTGTTTCTTGAAATATTAGAAGATACAAAACATTCCTTTCCTCTTCCTGTATATACTGACCAGCACTTTGGGGTGTCCTTTTAGGTTTTCTAATTTCTTTGCAGGACTTTTGCAGATGTTCGGGAAGGAGAGAGAAATCAAGAGCTGAGCCCACTGCTCAGATTTTCAGGTGGCTGTCTCTCCCCCCCTGGCCCAGTGGAAGGGCAGACCAGTTCCTGATGCTTATAAAATGGTAGGCAGAGGCGGCAAAATCTGCACTTGACCACAAGAACCTAAGAGCTTTTAAGTGCATGCTTTGGGTACATTTTCCTGTCACCTGGAGGTCTAGACTCTTGGCTTTTCTTCATTTTCTCCTCTACTATGAATCTTGTTAGGCCCCTTCTGCTCCAGGCAATGGGTAGAAGACCAGCTGCCCGGTGTCCACGCTCCCTGGGAGCTCCAAGACAGGACCCCCCAGCATTTTGTCTTTGCCTTTCTGTGTGTACCTCAGTGTCAGGCCCAAGTTCCCCCTTTATGCAAGGCCTCCCCAGACTGTCTTCAGGACCTGTTCCTAGCACATGCCCTCAGAGCTTTCTGTTCACCACAGTTCTTCTTACTTTCATGACTTTGTGCTGATTTGTGACACTTGCTGCCACATGACACCCTCTTCGCTGTCAGCCTTCAGAGGCAAGTTGCAGTTCTGGTTTGAGTGTGCTGTTTGTACAGTGTCTAGCCTGGGTCTGGCACTCAGTAGGTGCTTAATATGTGGCAGAAGCATTTGTTCTTGTGAGGATCGTACCTGTACTTACCTGATTAGCCTCAGGTCTTTTCTCCTGACCTTCCAGAAGCCTGACTCTTGCCTCACCCTCCCTCTCTGCCACCTTCAATTCAGTTGTCTATTAATTTCACCCCTGCCCTCCTCCTCCATCTTCCCTCCCAATCTGTCTGCTCTCAGACCCCTCCTGGTTCAGTCCAGCGCTTTCCCCCCACACACCCTCCTGTGCTGGCTGATTGGTATCTGTTAATTAACGTTGCCCAAGGCCTCTCTTCTACTCAGGAACCTGATAAGGGAAATTGGATGTCCATTTCTATCTCTCTTTTATTACCTCCCAGATCCCCGGGCCCCCACAGGCGGCCACACCCCTCTCCCATTCTGGGAATCTGCACAGCAATACGTACACATCTGACCCCTCTCCCCTGAGAGGACACATCCATCAGAGCATTCTCATGTTGGTGGGTGTGACCCTCCCTGCTCTCTAGCTGGTCACCTATGGAGTCCTGAAGCCAAGTGGAAATCCGAGGCCCAGGTTGTAAAGATGGGACCAGGAGTCAATGAGAATTGGATTTGGAAAATAGAAGGCTAGGGTGGCTGGTGCAGTGATGCACCTTCAGCCCAGTGTGCCCCAGGGTGAAGAAGTACGCGCTGGGTAGGAAATGAGGAGTGGTCACAGAAACCCAGAAGAGACGGGCCATGTAGGGCTGGGCCTGCCCAGGCCTCTAGGTGAGTTCAAAGGAGGATTGATGTCCCCGGTGGATCAGCAATGACAGTGTTAGTGACAGCACCCTGGCTGAGGGCTGCTGAGCCCACCATTCTGGATTTCCACAGGCATCCTTTCATCATCCTCATGGCGCCCACAGTGGAAGAGGCATCCAGGCAGGGCTCAGTGCAACATCAGGGCATTCCTTCATGGGCACAGTTACCCTGGAAAAATCCTTAATTTCAGTTGCCATAGCACCTAAGGAGAGCGGCTTTGCAGATAGTCTCTCTTTAATAAACTGGGAATGGTCAGGGTTGAACCCATCACTCAGTTTCTGGGTGAGCCCTCTGTGAATTACTGCCTTATGTTTAGTGGCTAAGATGTTTGAAAATCAGCGATCTTACTCTTTTTCTCTCGCCTTCTCCTAAATCAAGCCGTTAATTGACTTTGCCTATGTTATGTTCATGTACACTGCAGTTCCAATGTGTCACCCTCACCGGGCACTCAGTAAATAGCCATCGTCTCATTCATCGCTCACAGTGACTTTGAAGCAGCCACTACTCAAGCCCATTTCATGCGTGAGAGGCTAGGGTTCGAAGAAGTTGCATTGCTTCCCCAAGGTCAGCCACCAGCAAGTGCATTGGGGGGTCAGAGTTCAAGACCTAGCAATCTCTGAAGCACATTAGACAAGACAATGTCACAATTCTGGAGCCTTCTGCACCCTGCGCTCCCTTTCACTATGGAGTCAGCCTCCTTGCAAGAAGGGAGAGGAGAGCTCTAGTCCCAGCTCCCAGGACAGAACTGCTGGGTTGTCATCAGGATAGCGTGATGGGGCTGAGCAGTGGTGCACGACCCCTGGGAGCATAGCTGCCTGTGAGGAAGGGCCCATGATCCTGGGGGCTTTGACCTCCTAACATCCTTAGGTTGTGGTCACTGGGCCTCTGCCCAGGCTGGGAAGAGCTGAGTCCTCATTTCTGGTTAGAGGTTGGGCATCAGGATAAGGTGTCATTTTCAAGCAGAAAAGCCCCTTGGGTGAGCAGGGATAGGAGGGACTGGAAACTTCCCAGAACAGAACAGTCCTGTACTGCTACCTCCTGATTCTGCTGTGAGTTCAATAAGCCCTTAAATTACAAATGCGTTTAATTAATCAAAAAACGCCTCTCCAGACATTTGGAAAACACCCTCCAACTAACAATCATAGCAATAATAACCGTCAACATTGATCGAGCTTTTATTATGTAAGTCTTTTCTCTGAATTCCAAGTGTGACTCATTCACCAAGGGAAGAACAGTGAGTCTGGCAGCTGCACAGGGATTTCCCCACCCCCAGCACTCCCCCACCTCTGCCTTCCTGTGAGCCCTGAGAGGCCCTGGTCCCCCTCCTGACCAGCAGCCACCCTCTGGCCCCTCGAACTGCAGGCTTCTCAAACCTCTCGCTGGGCGACCAGATGAGCCTGCTGCAGAGCGCCTGGATGGAGATCCTCATCTTGGGCATCGTGTACCGCTCGCTGCCCTACGATGACAAGCTGGTGTACGCCGAGGACTACATCATGGACGAGGAGCACTCGCGACTGGCAGGGCTGCTGGAGCTCTACCGTGCCATCTTGCAGCTGGTACGCAGGTACAAGAAGCTTAAGGTGGAGAAGGAGGAGTTTGTGACACTCAAGGCCCTGGCCCTCGCCAACTCAGGTAAGGGGGCCTGGAGTGGGAAAGAGGGCTCCAAGGGGTCTTCCAGGAACCCAAGAAGCCGCCCTTCCTGGGTTCTCTTGCTGTGAGCAGGGCCAGCTGCCATGGGCAGGGATGCTGGGAAGCTGACACTGTTGTCACCAAAGACTCCAGCTGAAGCCAGAAGTTGAAATGACAGTGATGAAAGCTAGCACTGGGTGAGACAGCCAGACCAACAGGCTGGGGAAGGACACAGAGCTGGAGCCAGGTTGCTAATGATCAAATCTACTTCTACCACTTGAGCAGGTTGTTTCACTCTGAGCCTCAGTTTCTTCATCAGTAAGATGGAGACAGTAAATGGGCTTTATTCCACAACACTACTGAAGGGACTTATCTGTACATAGTTATGCTTACAACACACCTGGCGCATAGTGCTCAACTTGCCAATTGACGATGATCTCATTTAATTCTTACAAACAACTCTATGAGCAAAGTTCTTATTTTAACTCCATCTTACAGAAGGGGAAACTAAGGCTGAGAAAGGTGAACAAAATTGTCCAGGATCATACAGATTAAAAATGTCAGAGTTAGAACTCAAACCAAAGCCTGATTTCCAGTTTACACGCACTCCTTAAATAGACCCATCAGATTGCCTGGGCACAAGCATACAAAACATCCCCAAATGAATGGTTTAGTGAGGCATTAAAAAAAGGGGATTAGTCACTCTATTTCTTAAGCATCTGCAAACTTTGGTTAGATTATCTGGAACGGGGGGTGGGCATTGGGTAATGGTGGTGAGTGAACTAGGCTGTAATCTTTTTTTTTTTTTTTAATTCATATTAACTGTGCGAAAGAGTTTCATTGTGATATTTCCATACATGCATATTGTGTTTTATTGTATTCACCTTCTCCGTTACTCTTTCTTAATCCTCTTCTCCTGACCTGGACTGTAACCTGTGACAACACTTAGAGAGCCTCTAAGCTATGCCAGATACTGTGGGTGCTGGAGCACGCAGGAATAGAAATACAAGGTCCCTGCCCACAAGCACTTGTCAAGAAAGCACGCACCTGAGAATGCCGGGCAAGTGTGAAGTGTGGCAAAGTTAATCGTTCCAGTTTGGGTCACAGGGACTGAAGTTCAAATTTTTTTTTTTCCAAGTTCAAATTATATCTCTGACACTTTGTAGCAGCATGACCTTGGCTAACCCAGTGTCCTTTGGGTTCAGTGGAGATATTCCAAGTACCTCCTTCAAGCACATTTGTGAGTATTAAAGATGGAAGATAAAGCAGTTAGCCCAGTGCCTGACCTTGATAAATATTGCTTGTTGTCGTTACTATTACAGTGTTAGAGAAAACAGTGCTACCAGTATGTAGAGGAGGGAAAGCTGGCTCCGGGTGGAGACACACACACATTGTGGGGCTTTTATCAAAACTCCTCAGTACCCGGGAAACTGGAACATTTGCTCACCCTAACACATGGCCTCATGGCGCATTCAGGGACACTGTTGTTATCTCACTCTGTTACCTTCCTGCCACTGTCAGCCAGTGGTGGACCTGCATGGAGGAGAGAAGGGATTAGGCCTTCTCTTTGCCTTGCCCACTCCTTCCTATGCTTCCTGCCTCCCCGTATCCTTTCTCCCGAACCCACGCCCTGAACCCAAGCCCCTGTCTCGGGCTCTGCTCCTGGCAGCCTGACCTAACACAGAGAAGAAAGCATTTTTTATTCAATTAATAAAGAATACCAAATAATAATTTAAAAATTACATACTTCTATCATTTACACATTCAGATTTCAAAATTGTAAAGTATTTGTTGGGGAATGCTAGCGCTATGTTTTGGGTTTTTTGTTTGTTTAAAGCGTAGTTATAGATTTATGGAACAGCTGAGCCATAATACCTGGAATTCCATACGCTGCTCCATGCTGGGTCCCCCACCCCAGCAAGGTCTCCCCTAGTCTTTTTTTTTTTTTTGGCAGCACTGGGGTTCAACCTCAGGGCCTCACACTTGCTAGGCAGGTGCTCTGATATCTTGCGTTGGTGTAGTGATTTGACACACTATTCTTAACAAAAGTGTAGTTTGCACTGGGCTTCATTTGGCGCTGTGCCTTTTTCTCTGGGTTTTGGCAAATGAGTGACATCATGCAGAAGTTTTGCCAATCTGTGTCACCTCTTAGGGGCACTCAGCCACCCCATTCAGAGGCTGGGCATTCTGATGGGCAGAGGAGGACAGGCAAAGCAGTTAGCTGGGTGAGCAGGGTGCAAGGAGGAGGCTTTTCAGTCTTGGGAGGTCAAGTCCCCGATCTAGGATGCTCCTGCCTAATTCCTGCCACACTCAGAGCTTATGCCTTGCCCACGTTGCAGAGGCAAGTGAAGGAGAAAAGCTGTTCATGTCTCTACCCTTTCCCTGTAGTGCCACACAGCTGCCACCCTCATGTGCCCTTCCCTTACCCTCACATGCGTGCATGTGCTCACACACATGTGCACACACGCATCTTCATGCCTGTGCACACTTGTGCACAATACACACCCACACATAGACATGTATGCATACACATGCATACACACACACACCACCTGAGGACCCACTGTGGCTTGCTGGTGTGAACCCATTAGGGGCTTCTGCTGGTGTCACATTTTGATTGATTACACGCTTTGCCACATGGGACGAGGTTGGAGGAACTCAGCCTTCTTGGCCAGTGGCACCCAGAGGGCTACCTGCAGTGGTGTGTGAAAGCTCGGGGTAGAAGGAGGAGTTTGTGACATGCATGACTGCTTCCCTACTTCCAAGAGAGGCCGAGCATTGCCTGCCTCCAGGAGCTGCAGGCCTCATGGGCCAGCTGTGAAGGCTGCTTCCTTCTTGGCACTGACAGGTTGAACACAAGGCCCTGAGCTACCAGCAGGTTCTCAGGAAGCAGCTGATAAATACCCGCTTCCCCCCTTTTTTCCCCCCTTTTTCTTTTTGTTTTTAACTAATGGTTTGAAGCAGAGTACCTGTGATGAACGATCCATTTTAAAAAGTTTGATTCAGCCAGGTGTAATCCTGTAATCCTAGCTACTCGGTGGGCAGAGATCAGGAAGATCACAATTCGAAGCCAGCAATTGTTGAGGAGATCTTCTCTAGAAAAAATCCATCACATTAAAGGGCTGGCAGGGTGGCTCAGGTGGTAGAGCACCTGCCTAGCAAGTGTGAGGCCCTGAGTTCAAACCCCAGCCCACCAAAAAGAAAAGAAAAACATGTACATAATGCAAGTGTCATTCTAAATTATTAAATCTAACAGACATAGTTGAAAATTACTCTGCCAAGTTGCTCTGAAGTTCCCAGACATTTGCTTACAATCTATCCCTATCTGACCCCAGGGGCAGAGCCAGTCTGTGAGCAGTGCAGCTTCACCTGGCTCCACATCCTGCCTCTGCTACGTCCAGCAGCTTGGACTCTCTGAGCATCCATTTCCTCATCTGTGAAATAGGGAGAAAGGCAGCTCGCTATCAGAGTACACAGTGAGGTGCCTGAGTGGATGCTGTGACTCAGGTGTGGGTTGGTAGCCTAGGAGCTGATGCCAGGTGGAAGAGCAAAGCACCCCAGAGGCAGACTAGGCCTGACACCGTGATGCCTCTGGAGGCTGCTGCCTTCACTCCGCCGGCATCCCACCATCTCCAGGACTCTGACAGCAGAAAAAAATTCATAGTCATTGATTTTGTAATTAACAGTTTATCAATGCCATCGATACAGACTTGCTGATGGATTGCAAAGAAATTAATCTTGCAATGCTATTTTATTTCATTTTTGGTCGAAGGCACCTGCCAATTGCGATCTCCTTGGGGAGGGTGGGGGAGGGTGGCAGGATGGGGAGGGGAGCTGATGGCAGTTGGTGAGATTGGTGGCCAGGGCCCAGCCTTTCAGGGCCTAGCCACATTTTGAGTGCACTGTAAATGGCTGAGAATACAGGAACAGAGCCATGTTTCATCTCTCAATTGGCAAAGGAGTCTTCACTGGCTTGGTAGCAGGGAGCAGAAAAGTGTGTAGGGGACTCGGGTATGGCTGCCATACTGTCCCACCTTGCAAAGGCTCACCCTCACCCCAGCTGAGCCCCACACTAATGACAGTAGCAACTGACATTTGCCAGTGCTTACCAAGTGCCTGGTGATGTGCTTCTTCATTTACCCCCTCACCATTATTTGCTCCATTTTACAAATAAGGACACAAGACTCAGAGAGGCTCAGTAACCTGGCCAGTGTCACACAGCATCTGAGACTCTAAAAGTCTTTTCTACCTCATTTTGTTGCTCCCCACCCAAGAGAAAAAGGCAGGATCCTGGCAGAGAGTCACTGGGGCCAGTCAGTTGGTACAGTTGCTCCTGGCAGTGGGGTGCCTTAATCAACCGAGTAGTATGCAAGGGATTTGCCCTAGCCAGGTGTGGGGCTACTATGTGGAAACATTTCAAGACTAGCCCAGGCAAAAAAGTTAGCTAGACCTCATCTCAACCAGTAAGCCAGGCATGGTAGTACATCTCTGTAATCCCACCTATGTGGGAGGCCATAGGAAGGAGGATTGCAGCCTGAGGCTGTCTCCAGGCCAAAAAAAATCTAATGGGACAAATGACAAAGATTTAAAAAAAAAAAAAAAAAAAGGACTGGGGGCATGGCTACCCAGCAAACAGAAACAGGAGGTCCTGAGTTCAAACCCTAGTACCACCTAAAAGGTACACTTTTGAGGAATTCAGGAAGCTGGGCAGCCTGCCTGATCAGCTCCCGTGTTGGGTGCGCCTCGGCACTCCTTGGGCTACAGTTCAGAATGGTAGCCCAAGGCGTTGAGGGAGCCAGAGAAGACTGGCTGTTTTCCCTCAGTGGGTTCCAGGAGAGTCAGACCCCACTGTACCCTGTGTCAGCTGGTGTGTCCCTGCTCTACTCAGGTTTAGGTCAGTTTCCTTCAGATCACCAGTTCATGTCTTAAGTTCAAAGCTCTCCCCAATGTTTATTTTTCTTTGCAGTGCTGAAGATCTGCCAGAGTCACACCCCCATCCTCAAGATTCTTTTTTTGGTGGGACTGGGGTTTGACTACAGGCTTCAAGCTTGCAAAGCAGGTGCTCTACTGCTTGAGCCACAGCTCCAGGGCCCCCATCCCCAAGATTTAAGAAAACTCCCATCAGCTCCCTTCATCACCCTGCCCATGACCCTCAGCATGGGGCACCTGGCCCAGAGCTCAGCCCTTTTATATGTGGCTATTCTGGAACGAGGATTGGGTGGCTTAGGTGATTACTCTGCGGACTGGAGGAGCTGGTGCCATGGTGGTGGCAGCAGCATGGGACTAGTGACAGTGGTGGTGGTCCTGCTACCCGAGCACTGCACTGTTAGAAACTCGTAGCCTGCATAACTCCTTTAAACCTGTGAGGTAGGTATGGTTGTTAAACCCCATTTCACAGACGAGGCTCAGAGAAATCGGATGACTTGTCTAAAGTCACACAGCTAGCAGGTGAGAGGCACCAGACTCCAGCTCTGCCAGTCAGGCTCTAGGGACCGCCTGGCACCTCCAGGGCACCCAACATGTCTGCTCAGGTTTAAGTCCTTCAGCATCTCACATGGCTACCTCCTGGTGGTCTCTCAAGAAATGCACCCCGTAGATGTGGGTATCTCTCAGGGCCTGAGCCCAGCTGCCATTAGCCTCTGACATCAGAAACCTCTCTGAGCCTCAGGCTGCTTTTTGAAGCAAGCGTTTGAGGGTGGCCTTGCCTATCTCCCAGACCTGGAGGTGGCCCACGGCCGGGCACTGATGCTCACTTTACACCTACAGATTCCATGTACATCGAGGACCTGGAGGCCGTGCAGAAGCTGCAGGACCTGCTGCATGAGGCGCTGCAGGACTACGAGCTGAGCCAGCGCCACGAGGAGCCGCGGAGGACCGGCAAGCTGCTGCTGACGCTCCCCCTGCTGCGACAGACGGCTGCCAAGGCCGTGCAACACTTCTACAGCGTCAAGCTGCAGGGCAAGGTGCCCATGCACAAACTCTTCCTGGAGATGCTGGAGGCCAAGGTCTGATGGCCCGGCACACAGATGGATGGACAGATGGACCCATGCAGAGACCTCCACAGTCACCAGCCTCCACCTTTGACCCCTGCATTGTGGTTCTGAGCTGTCCCAGAGGAAGGTTTCCTGCTTCCCAGCCACATGTGCAGACTCCTGGGGGAGGTGGGGCAGGGGCAGGGAGGGAGGGCAGGGGCGCTCTTTCTTTGGTATGTTTTTCCCTCTCCGTGGGCAGTACTGGGACCTGGGCCAGGGCTGACTCCCCTTGGGACTGCAGAGCTCTGGAGTAAGCCCCCCCACCCTACCAAGTCACCAAGAGGCAGGACATAGCATGTCCACTGTAAGAGCGTGCTCTGTCAACAGCCTGGGTGAGCCACACTCGGTGCCCGGGACTCCCACAGCTCAGGTTGGGAGCCCTGGAGGTTTCTCTCACAGAGGACCGGTCCTTAGGGCTGTAGCATCTTCTTCCAGAAGATTCCCTGCTCTGAGGTCTCAGGAGGCTCCTCCATTATCCAGATGGCTTCTTTGCTCCTTTTTTCCTCCTCCCACCCCTCAAGCATCCAGCTCCTAGTCGGATGCACCCACAGGGAACAGCAGCTAGACCTCCCATATTTTCTTAGTCACCACCCTCTGCTCGCCCACCTGCCACCCACCATTGGCCCTCTCCTTGCTGCTTCCTGCCCCTACCTCAGAGGGCTCAGACAGCCCAGGTGACTCCAGGGCCTGTATTCGGGAATTTGCTGCCTCAGGTGAGCAGAGTCCAGGCCCTCCACCCCCAGCCCCTCTGCTTCCTTTCTTCTCCTTCCCCCTCCCTCCTTCTGGGCAGGTCCAGAGCAGGGCACCCATGGAAAGTCCAGGGGCCTGGCTCCATCCGGGGCACATGTAGAGGGTGGCTTTATGCCACTCTTGGACTAAGGATGTTGGTGCAGCTGGGCCAAACCTTGGCAAGTCTCTACACTCTCTGGCTGCTACGTGGAATGGCTTGCCATCCCACTCTGCCCAAGACTTTCCAGGTTTTAACTGAATGATCTGTTCCCACTGCCCCAGGCACATGGAGATAGTTGGACACCCTGTTTCTGTGGGTGGCAGCCAAAGGTAGATTTTACCTACTCAAGGAGATCCTCATGGGTGCTCACAGGCTGGCTGAGGGCAGCAGGGAGGGTCTCCCTTGGATGAAGGGGTTCTGTCCGCAATGGGAGTGTCCTGCCAGTCAACAGCCTTCTACAGTCAGGATCACAGAAACCTGTCTGGAATACTCCCGGGAAGTCCTTATTCCACAGCTTCTGACCAGTCTCCTCCAGCCCAGAGAGGTAGGCAGACCTCACCCTGCACTGGGACCCTAGGCCCCTCTTCACCAGTGATTATTCCACTGGAAACAGCTGCCTCCCTGGCCAGCAGCCCCGCAAGCTGACAGCCTGTGCTGTACTGGGATGATGCTGGTCCTGCAGACAGGAGGCTGGCTAGACCCGAAGCTGCAGACCCCTCTCAAGGATTCCAGATCCCTGCCCTTTCGCCTGTGGGGGATCTGAGGCCTGAGTCACTGGATGAGTTAACATTGAATTAACCAGTGCCTCCTTCCCTAGGCTGCCGGTCCGTACAACAGGTGACAGGAAGTGCGAGTGGTAGGGAGCCTATAGTGCAGAACTGCTGGGTCCCCTGGGCATCCAGAGCAGGATGAGGGCGGCTTCTTAGTTCAAAGTGTTGCCAGATGTGAGTCCCCTGGGGAGGCCACTGACTTAATGAGAGTTGACTTTAAGAAACACTGAGTCCCATAAACAGGATGGAACCCAAGTTTAGCCCAAATCTGCCATTTCTGGGAGAATCTGTAAGGCCCTCTCATGCGCTCATGATACAAGGTCATTTGAGTCAAACCAAGAAATAAAACATAAAATCCATACTGCTTGGGTTTTGTTTGGTTCCCTCATTCCTGTCCTTTCTAAAGGTATCAGATGGCTATCACCTGTGTCTCCCAATCTTTGCACACAGAACCTGGTCATTTCTCAGGCCGCGATTTGAGTACCAAGCAAGAGGCTCTCAGAAGCAGGGTTGAGGGACTGTGGCAGGGCTGAAAGAAGAAGTGGAAGTCAAGCTTGTGACAAGGGGACTGAAGGGCCCAGAAGCCCATGCCCATGGAACAGCAGCAAAGAAAAGCACTATGAAGAGGTCGTTTTATTTTCTAATGATGACATGTGGCTGGGATGACTTCTTGAGATGTATATATTTTTTAACTGGCAGCCCCTCGTTGCTGTCTTGCCCCCCTGTACATATTTGTGTTCTGTACATGTTCTCCCAAAGTCTTCCCCCAGCCCCATGCAAATCACAAGCCCTAGGGGTCTCCCATCAGTGCGGTGTATCTGCAATCTAATAGAAAAGCAAAGCCCTGCAGGGGAGTTTCTTCAGGCATCATCTGTCTGGGCTCACTGCCCTCCATCTCAGGTTGATGCTAGGAGAGGCCATGGGGAGCCACCTCAGCCTCAGAGATCAGGGCAGGGGTATGTTACATGGACAGTGTGATCCATGCTTGCCTAGCATCCAGAAGGCCCCAGGTTCAATCCCCAGCACCGCAAAAACATAAGCACGATCAGTAGCAAAACTCAGAAGTGTAACTTGCGAAGTCTGACACAGGTCTGAGAAGCCCCTACTGCTCTTGGGAAGCACTCAATTTTTGGTGCTAGAGAAATGGGACATCAGATATGTGTGAACCACAAACAATTGCCTTAGGGTTTTGAAGTGCATCCATGTACACACACAACACTGAGTACACAAGACCAGGAGGACTTGAAAGGGGACTCTATCAGGATGCCTTCTGCTGCAAGTCAAAGACCCTCCAGCTTTTATTTATTATTATTATTATTATTGGCGTACTGTGGTTTGAACTCATGGCCTCAAGCTTGCTAGGTCTTGACTCTACCACTTGAGCCACTCTGCCAGTCCTTTTTTGGGGGGTATTTTTTGAGATAGGGTCTCATGAACTATTTGCCTGGGCTGGCTTTGAACCACAATCCTCCTGATCTCTGCCTCCTGAGTAGCTAGGATTACAGGCGTGAGCCACCAGCTCCTGGCTCCACACTCAGCTTATACTGGTTATATCTATGTGGGTTAAGCATCAGACAGGATTTGATGCAGAGATTTGCAAAGTCAGTGGAATTACGGGTCAGCTTTTCTGATTCAGATCTCCCCTGTTCTTCATCCTCAAGCTAACTTCTCTCATGGTAGCAAGAAGGCTGCTAGTTTTTTCACACCAGGGGCGGCGGAGGTGTGTGTGTGTGGAGCAGATTTCTTGCAACCATGGAAAGTGTCTCAGCTTCATTCTGGATCCCAATGGTTTGGGTCCTCTCTCTTAAATCACTTCTCGGGGTGGGCCCGGTCCCACTCAACAGCCTAGCTGCTAGGCCACAAGAAAGGAGCAGGCTGGGAATCCACAGCCGTGGGACCACGAGGCAGTCTACACAACATGCAGCACATCTAATGCATGAAGTTTTCAAGCGTCTGTGGGGGTGAAAGAACCCACTCCCTGGATTATTTTCAAGTACTTTCCCAATTCATATTCGTGATGCCTGATACACCTGTGTGCACACACAAGCTCGCACATGCATACACACACTACTGATGTTTGTGTGCTTCTCCAGGAAGGAGAATCAACCACAACATCCCATAATGCAACAAGAAGGTCACGGGATGCAGAATGGAAGAGCAGGGCTCTTGTCTGCTGGGATGGGAAGGACTCAAGGGCAAGATCAGGGCCGGGGCCTTGGAGCATCATCCACGTGAGGTTTGGGATGCTAGAGCACACCAGGACAGCACCACCATGGGGAGGCAGTGGGCAGGAGGGTAGCTAAAGAGGAAGCAGGGAATGTGCTCTTCCCAATAATGAACAGCTGGCTCTGACTTCCTTACAGCTCACACCTTCCACCATTATCTGCCCAGATAACTCAAAGGCAGTATATCCCCTACCCACCTCCCCAATCTAGGGACTCACTTTCATGTCAGTTACCTGAGATCAATCAGGCAGGGGCTAAAAATATTATAGAAAATTCCAGAAACAAACAATCCCTAAGTCTTGAATGACTTTTGGTATGGTATATTGGTATAATTGTTTTATTTCATCTGTAGTTATTGTTGTTAACATCTCATGTGCCTAATTTGTAAATTACACTTTATCAATGGGTATGTATGTATAGGTAAAAATGTAGAAAATAGTGCAAAACATGATCTGTGGTTTTGGGCATCCGCTGGGGGTTTGGGAAAGTATCCCCAGTGGATAAAGGGGAACCACTGTAAAGTTAAATTCATCTCAGCACAGGTTTGTGGAACGGAAAGGGCTCAGCAACCTTGCCTTTTCTGTCATTATTTGACAGTTGATAGAAATAAGCCAAAAGAGAAAGACCCTTGCTGGACAAATCTGAACTACAACCCGAGAACTGTAACCTCGTGGCTTAGGAACTGTGAGGTGTTGGGAAGCTCGCTCTACTGGGGAATACACAGCTTCTTGACTACAGTTAGTCCAGCAGCTCACAAATGTGCCCCCTCCCAGGGACGTTGTTGTCACAGAGGGGTGGGTGCTACTGGCATCCAGTGAGCAGAGGCCAGGGTGCTGCTAAATATCCTATAACGAACAGGATGGCACCCTTCGCTCCCAGTGGGGAGGATTGTCCCTCCGAAAATGTCCATGGTGCTGCTCAGAGAAACCCTTATTTAGAGGGACTCTGGGAATTATCAAGGCAAATCTGGAAGCCATTCTTCTAGAAAGGCCCCTGGGTTCTACCCAAGGATCCAGGGAACAGGATTTGTTGGGGTGGGGGGGTTTCAACTCTCAGCTTAATGCCAGCTGCACTTCACCTGGTCTGACTCTAGCCCCAACACTTCCATTTGGGGCAAACATCCCTTGCTCTGTGTTTACCAATGGCTCTTGCTCAGATCTAGTCTGAAAGTCGGGGCAGCTGCGATGGTCCTGCAGTCACTGGATAGCCAGGCCACAGCAGCTCCTTTTCTTTTTTCTTTTCCTTTTTGGCGGTATTGGGGTTTTGAACTCAGGGCCTCACATTTGTTAGTCAGGTGCTCTGCCACTTGAGCCATTTCAACAGCCCTTTTTTGTGTTGGGTATTTTCAAGATAGGGTCTTACAAAATATTTGCCCAGGCTGGGTTCAAACCGCAATCTTCCTGATCTCTGCCTCCTGAGTAGCCAGGATTACAGGCGTGAGCTCCTAGCACCTGGCACACTTGGTACAGCTCCTTTTCTATATAAACTTTGGGTTTTGTAAAGTAAGATAGCACCTGTGTCCTCAAGGATGAAAG